TGTGTGTGTGTGTGTGTGTGTGTGTGTAGGCTTGCCTGTGTTTACACCTTCAACTGCCAGCACATAAATCACTCTTTTGGTGGATAAGTGAAACCCACACACACACCACACACACCACACACACACCACACACACCACACACACACATTCTCTCTCATAGGGGCATATGATTGGGGTAAACACAGAACTTTCTGTCCCACAAACGCACAATAGAAACCGTGCCCGTCCGAACAATGAATCGTGGAGGTGTTGTTGTATCACCTGACACACATACACAAACAGCTTCAGGTGTACTATTACGGGGAAAGGCTCGGTTGACTGGTTACACACACATATATGCATCTACACGCTTTATTACTCATGCAGCCACTTAGAGGCGATCTCACACAATCTCTTGGCGTTCACCAGAACAGTGCCAAAACAAACGTTTTTTTGCCATCGATGGCATGTGACTCACTCAACTGCCCTGTGCAGCACCACGTGTTGCATATCAAAAAGTGCACCCAGTTTACTTCTTGATTCTTTCGTGGTTTCCAAAACAAACAGTGACAATAAAAGAAATACCAGGAGGTGGAATCAGATGTGAAGGTAAATGGTTCTGTCACATGGCACCTTTTGGTTATCGAACAATGGCATCTGCATCCACAGGCTGGTGCGGCTCTAAAATGTCCATGAAGCGTGTGAAACATGATACGCACATCGCTGTCTTAAGGGCAGCCTTCATGTTGTAGCAACTGTTGTCATGGTAACTATCTGACATGATGTAAACTGATGAAAGTGGTTGTTTATATACCACAAAGTCCTGCGATGGACTGTTAAGGGTGCACCGTGCCTCTCACCCAAAGCCTGATAACTTGTCTTTTCTTTTAATCACAGCTGGCACCACAATTTCCCATGAACCCATTTTTACCTGTTGCCAGAGAACTTATTGTTTTCATTCAAATTCGTTGGTACGTGCAAGCTGATGAAAGCCCATAAACGTGATATTGAAATCTCGTTTCGGTAAAATGGAAAGCTATGCGATTATGATCTCAATAGGACTGCACCATGTTTGGGCATGGTGAGGGCGTCAATGATTAAAAAGAATTCACTTCCTGTCTTTGGTAATCGGTAAACTCTCAACACAAGCAGTAGTCTGTGTTCAATCGGGGGAGAACACCGTGTTTAACTTTACATTTTGACATGGTTCCAATTACACCATTAAGATGCCTCTTATGTTACAAGTCGCTCTACGTTTCTAGATATTTACAATTCAAACGGTAGCATTAAGTAAGATTTAGCATCTGCAACACCAAGTAGTAAGATCAGAAGTTGAAAGAATGGCATTCAAGATCAACAAAAATGTACTTTCTTGATGAGAGTAACACAAAGATTAGGAGCGTTTCAGTCAGTTTATTGTGGAATTACATTCAGAATTATTTATTACAACGATTATAACGGTCAATTACTTGATAAATGGATTCACATTAAATTAATTGCTGTAATTATCAAACAACGGTCTCTCATCTTGTTTGTACTACTGTTGTACGTACAGCAAAATGACAATAAACCTGATTTGATTTGATATTAAATAAGCTTTCATTCATATTTAAGCAAAACTGGAAACTATTTGCATTTACTAACCTCTCAAACACGATAATTTGATGGTAAACTTAATATCTTTGGACATGGTGATGTCAGCTTGGCCTGTTAGAAAACAGAAACAACAATCAGCAAATGAAGAAATAATGACAACATATGTCAGTTGCTCTAATTTCTAGTAGCTCAAATTTACACTTTGATAGAAAAATAAACAAACATAACAAAACCTGTTGATTCCCAAGCTTCAAAAGCAGATTTTGCTGCAGTCGTTTCCAGCCTTTGCACTGATCTTGTTGGCTGCTGCTCTCCCTGTCAAATGTTTCACTACCCGTAGAAGACTAAGAGACATCTGGTTATTTAACAAACCACTTGACCAGCAAAGGGAACACAGTTCAACTGACAGTTTGATAAGTTCCCACATGCGCAAACTGGTTTCACTTAGGAGTTTTTCTCCAGGGACCTCTTTTGCACAGTTGTGTTGTACAGTCTCATACAATAGCGTGCAGTCATGTCAAAGACGCAGATGACTCACCAGCCTCCAGGGAAAGCGGTGGCAGTGAAACAGAGGGAGTTAAGAGTTTGGGAGGGAGAACAGAGAGAGAGGAAAGGGGGTGACGGACCTAAAGACCGAGGGGAGGGCGGGAGGGAGGGAGGGGTAGAGCTCGGGATGTGCAACGACTGGTTTCACTAATATAAAACAGGACACCCCTTACTCAAAGTTTGAGAGCAAATGCGAACACGTGTGTGTTCACATAAACTTCACCTGTGTGCGAACATGTGGTAGTTTGTAAGTTTGGACTGAAAGGGGAGGAGAAGACGTTTTGTGAGCTTGCGTGCGTGCATGTATGTGCGCGTGCACACGCAGTAGTGTGTGTGTGAAGGTGAAGGGGGGTATGTTTGTACCAGAGGTAGTTAAATGAGGAAGTGGCAAACTGATAGATGGGAACAGAATGTTCTACGGAGAAGCAACAGAAAGAGAGAGTTGACAAGCGGCCTTCCCCTCTCTACACATTGACAGGCTCAAGCACACAGAACGAGTTACATGAGAGCCACATACTTCCCATGCACACACATAAGTCTCTGGAAACAATGTGCCCACTCATGTCTACATTTAATGAACATGAAAACTTATGCAAACTCACACTGATGCTCACATAATAACCTCGTCTGAGATCCTGGTCTGACAAGTTAAAAACAAATTTTGGTAGAAGATTAATGAGAACATTTGCACTCCCTAAAGATTAGATCTTTGTGTGTGTGTGTGTGTGTGTGTTGCACCATAATCAGTAAGACACTGGACATCTTAGCTCTACATCATTAATCTGAATGGCGTGCCACCGGACATTTTTGATGCAGACGATTTCCAAGGAATCCATGAAGATAGAGAAGCAGAAACACTTGCCACCCACTCGTCCATGTGCACACTTTGTCAATCTTGAAGGGCGCTGATAAATGTTTACCTTGGATGCCAAGGTGGTGCGTCGACGTTCACTGGAATGAGACAGGGCGAGAGAAATGAAGCTATCTTGTTTTTCTCATGGTGTCAGTCACCATGCAGCTGAGTGTGTGACTGTCAAATACTCATGATTTAGTGCATGTGTGTGTGTAGAGCCATTTGTGCACTTACATGTGTATATGTGAATGAACGTTGTGTTGTTTTTTTTTTATTCCTGCTATATGAATGTGTGTTTGTATGAAGGGAGCTAGGGTGTCACCAGCACTTCTCCCTGCCAGAGGATTTACGGTGTGATGGAAATACTTCAGATGTGTTCATGCTGCTCTCCCTTAAGGCCTCACTGCTTCGATACGATCTCACTTGGCAAGCCCAGCGATCCTTCATTGAAAAGTCTTTTGGCAATGAATAACTGTTAAAAAAAAACATGAAGAATTATATAGTTTAATTTGAGCATATTAAAGGAAGGACCTGATATGTGTTCATTTTTCAATTTCTTGTTGTTGGAAGCATTTTGGCAGATGTCTGTGCGTTTTTTTTCCCCACTTTTTTAAAAAATTTTTATGACATCTTTTTACAGTTTTGCCAGAAGGAAAAACATCATTACTCACGCCATAATTTCTGGAAGGCTTTATCTTTTAGTCAGGAGGTGGTGTTAAGTCTGAAGAAAGCTCTGCCCAGATGAACCACCATCAGGGCGCTGCTGAACTCAGCAGAGCGACGAACAATCAAGTCAGTTTGCTGTTTCAGCTTCTCACAGGCAACAGGGGAATGTCACAGCACTGGCTCAAACACACACACACTGCGCTCGTCTCATGCACAGAGCGACAAAGAGCGCGTCTTTGATGTCATTTTCTCATTAGTGCAGAGCTGCAATGCCAGTGCGGCGGTTGAGACTTCCTGTGAAGCCGGAGCAGGTCGGACGTGATCGATGCGCCTGTCGTCTGTTGGTGGCGTTAACATCGGGCACCTATCAGGCCAGGGTGTGGCTCCGAGCGTGTGCTTGTGTGTGTGTCAGTGGTGACAGTCGCGTTAGAGAATGTGTTGAATCCACAACGTGTTAAACACCACTCAGACAGATGATTTTGATGATTTTAAATGACAACAGCTGGACTAAGGCACGCCGTTTCAATTAACAAGGCTCGCACTAATCACTACGAAGCTCTTTTGGCTCTATTTTAGGTTAGGTTTCTATATTTTCCTCTTATTGGTTTGGGGAACAGCAAAAAATGGCACCGAATGATGTGCAGTAGAGTAAATTGGTTCGATGATGTTTCGCTCCCTCGAGACAGGAGGAGACAGATGTCTGACTCCTTTCTTCATTTAAAAAAAAAAAAAAAGTTGCACAGACCTCTGTCGGTTGTGTAATGTTTACTCAGGCACTAATAAACACTTTCTTCCTTCACCTTTCTGTAGATGAGGAAGCCCCAGCAGATGAGGAAACAGCTCCTGACACAGGTGCCGACGGAGACCCTCAAGTTGACAAGGAAGCAGATGAGGTGAGAAGCAGAAGTGTTTTGTTTGTTGGTTTGTGTTGTTCAATTGATTTCTTTTAAATTAGTCCTTTTTTTTGCATTTGAGGTCTTCTGGTAAATCACACATCGTAAAGCAACCACTTTTATGGCCATTATGTAAATCCAGTGGAGAGATGTATAGGTGAAAATAATGTCTAATCATTTAACAACTGCTTTAGAAAAAAAAGCTGTACAAAGAGTGGTGGTAATAAAAGTAAAGGTCTGAATAAACTCAGGTGAATGTTGTTCAGAACTGTAGATTATTTTTGGTTTATGTTGCATTGCAGACTTTTCAGATAGCCAAGAGCACAAATACATGACTGTTAACCATGTGAAGCTGTAGAGCCAGTCCACCTCAGGACCACAGCCTGCTGTCTGATGATCTGCTAGAATGTTACGTAGATGAAATTTCATGAGATGAAAATCTTGTGCTGAATACAGACTCCTGCTGACCC